TTTTAAAGCCTGCATGTTCATCTAAAGCTTCTTTGAAAATAAATTCGGAGTGGATATTAAGAAATAGAGTTGATTAAATACACTCCTGCCTTACACCACGTCATATTTCCACTGTTTCCCTCGTATTCTGACCATTTCGAATGTTTTCACATTGATGCCAATACAAATTTTTGATAATAGGAGGTCTTGGTCATCAATTCTCACCTATTTCAAGGCACCTATCAGTTTATCGTGAATGACCCGGTCAAAGTATTTTTCGTAGTCGATAAAACACATATACTGGTTGTTCTATATCCCTACATGTTTGAACCATTACCTGCAAACTAAATAATGATTATCTGATTCCAAGGTTGTTTCTGAAACCAAACTGTGTTTCGCTTATCTTCTTCTTCTTCTTCTTCAGCCTGTGTTCGTCCACTGCTGGACATAGGCCTCTTCCATTTGCTTCCATCGATTTCTACTTTTGGCAATTCTCATCCACTGCTTGCCCGCGACTTGGTTGATATCGTCTGTCCACCTCTTCTGCGGTCTGCCTACTCCTCGCCTGTTCTCTCTTGGTCTCCAGTTTGTTAATCTTTGTGTCCATTTTTCGGGATTATCTCGGGCAATGTGTCCGACCCATTGCCACTTGAGCCTTGCAATACGTTCTGAGACATCAGTAATTTTTGTTCTTTCACGAATGACGTTATTTCGAATCCTGTCTCTCAAACTAATCCCTAGCATGGCCCTCTCTATTGCTCTTTGGGTTGTACTGAGCTGCTCTAAGGTTTTCTTTGTGAAGGCCATGGTCTCCAGTCCATATGTAGTTACAGGTAAGATACATTTGTCATAAACTCTACGTTTTAGACACATTGGTATATCTTTATTCTTCAAAATAAAGCTTAATTTGCCGAAAGCTCCCCAAGACAGTTGTATGCGTCTTTTTATTTCGGCTATTTGATTTTCTTTGCCGATTTTAATGGTATGTCCAAGATATATATAGTGGTCTAAATTTTCAAGACTGACGTTGTCAATAACAAGATTAGTTTGTAAATTACTCATTATTTTTGTTTTCTGAAGGTTCATTTTGAGACCTATTTTATTTGACTGCTGGTTTAATTCCTTCAACATTTGCTCTAGTCCCTTGATATCTGTACTAAATAATACTATGTCATCCGCAAACCTCAAATGACTCAAAGGTACACCATCAATGTTTAGACCTTTTTCCTCCCAGTCAAGCTATTTGAATACATTTTCCAATGCTAAGGTAAAAAGCTTTGGTGAAATAGTATCACCTTGTCTAATACCTTTATCAAGGCGCATTTTTTCAGTTTTTTCGTCTTCATTGATTTTGATGTGGAATGTGGCCTGTTCATAAATGTTTTTAATGAGTGTAGTGTACCGTGAGTCTATTCGAGCATCCTTCAGGGCTGACAAAAAGGACCAAGTCTCAATACTATCGAAAGCCTTGTGAAAGTCGATAAATGCCATATGTAAAGGTACATTATATTCTGTGGTTTTTTCTACTAGTGTTCTGATGGTTTGTAAGTGATCATTAGCGCCAAACCCTTTTCTAAATCCCGCCTGTTCAACCGGTTGATATAAATCAAGTTTTTGTGTTATGCGGTTGGTTATTATTCTTGTTAACAATTTTTATAAGTGTGACAACAAACTTATAGGTCTGTAGTTTTCAATATTAGTAGTGTCTCCTTTCTTGTGTAAAAGTATTATTTCGGCGTTTTCCCATAGGCTGGGTATTCTTTTTTCTGTTAGACACTTATTCAGTAAGACTTCCACAACTTCTACAACGATGTTGCCGCCCATTTTTAACATTTCAGACGTTATACGATCCTCGCCGGGAGCTTTTTTATTTTTCATTTGCTGTAAGGCATGTCTAATTTCCGAAGAGGTTATTTTAGGGAGGGTTTCCGAGCCGACGTTTAGAATTGTTCTGTGGTCTGTTTCGGGGTTCCGTATAGTAGATGTATAAAGATTCTTATAGAACGTTTGTATTTCCTTGATCATTTGAGTTTTTTCGGTCACCGTATTCCCCTGTTGATTTTTGATTTTAGTTATCTTTGATTTTTCTTTAGTTAAATTTGATTTCAATTCTCTCATGTTTCTATTGTTTTCGATGGTTTGCAATATTTGTTTTGTTTTATAAGCCCGCAAGTCTGACCTTATGCTCTTTTTAACTTTATTGTTGATAGCTTTATACTCTGGTAATTCTTTCGATGTTCTTCTTCTTTCTTCCATTAAATTAAGTGTTGTTTGTTTGAGTTTCGTTTTTCTGGGATTTTTATTTTTATCACAGATCTTTTTTGCAGTTGATGTTATGTCGTTCGTTAATTTTTGTGTTATTTCATTTATATCTTTCGTGTTGAATACTGGTAGAGGTCCTAGTTTCTTTTTTAGTTCACTTTGATATTCCTCTTGATTCATTTCGAGTGCTTCTATGTTTGGCAATTTATCCTGTGTTAATAATTTTCTTCTATCTAATTTCGTATTTATTTCTATTCGCGTCCTAACTAATCGATGATCACTACCAGTGTTGAAAGAATTTAGTACAGTAAGGTCTTTAGCAATGTTTTTGAAGTTAGAGAGTATAAAGTCAATTTCATTTTTTACTTTGCCATCTGGGCTTAACCACGTCCATTTTCTCTGCATCTTTTTCTTGTAGAAGGTATTTAAGCAGAATAGTTTTTCTTTGCTGAGGAAATTTACGAGCATATCTCCCCTGTGATTTCTACTTCCCAGTCCAAAATTTCCAATATATTCGTTGTCGTTGTTATTTTCGTTCTTTCCTATTTTAGCGTTGAAATCTCCCGTAATTATTACGTAATATGTTTTCTCTAGTTTTCTGGCTCTTGTAATGTCTTCATAAAGTTGTTCTACCTCTTCATCATCTGCAGAAGAAGTTGGTTTCGCTTATACGTACTTCTATTTGGTTGTAAATTTTCGAGTGTAGTATTCTTAAGAATATTTTCAGTACATGGCTCATTAGTCATTAGACTGATAGTGCGATGATAGCTACTATGCTTAGGGTTTATTTATTTTTTTTTGGTATCATTACAAATGTTGACAGTAACCAGCCTATTGGTATATGCCCTATTTCGTATATTTTATTGAAAAGGTTTTAAAAGAGAATGTTTGGATTCATCGTCGAGCAGTTGAATTATTTCGCTGGGAATTTCATCTGGACCGGTTGCTTTCTTTGATAGTTGTATAGCTCCTTCCATTTCATTACAGGTTATCTTTGCACCAGTCTATATATTTTTGATTTGTATTTCTGTTTTTTCGTCATCAAACAGTTCCTCAAAATATTCCCTCCATCTCTCCAGTTTGTCTTGTTCATAATATTTTCTTTTCTACCTTTTCCTACTTTGGAATTGAAGTATAATAATGTCTAATCACTAGCTTTGAGTGTAATTGCATCATGATGACTCTGTCCGACATGTAACTTACATGTCCAAAATGTAACTTACAGATTTAATACAACTTACATGTCCAAAATGTAACTTACAGATTTAATACAACTAGAGACTTCTTTATGTTCAAGGAATGCCACGCCATTCCTGTGGTTATTACTTTATTCTCCGGAGTAGAATACGTCGTGGTCGTCTATGCTACATTTACCAGTCTCCAGCCAACGCATGTCGCTTATCCCAAGAACTAGTATATTGAGGCTTATCACTTCACGTATGGTGTTATTTCTTTTCTATCGTCATAGGGATTTTGCTGGATAACGGCTTGGGAAGCCCTGTGTTCTTGTCTTCTCCTGCCGGATCTTGGTGTCCGAAGACCACTATCAGTATACTTTTTCTTATCATATGTCAGTACCATTATGAATGAACTAGATAATAATAGTTTTCCGTTGCCTTTTCCATGGCAGTACCACAACCATTTAAACTGGTCCAGTCATGCTTGTGGTAGTCCAGATTCAAGCCGATGAGGATGATGATTCTTTCGAAGGCAATGTTGAGTGGCCAAATTATGTTCAGTTTTTAAGGTCTATCTTGCACCAACTTTAATACATTTATTCCCTAGTACAATTAATCCTGGATGTGTTGATGAAACTTTATGATTTTAATGGAATGGTGCGTTTCATAATTATGCTGTAGTTGTTCGTTGATATCTTCATGAAATTTGTCCTAACAGGTTGATTGGTAGAGGTGGACACATTTAATGACCAGCGAGGTCACCAGACCTAAATCCTCGATTATACTATGTGGGGACATTAAAGAATGTAGTTTACAAAATGGAACCAGAAGGTATTGAAGAATTAACAGAAAGGATAAGAACTTATATGTGTTTAAACCAATTATTATCAAAGAACCTGTTCAACCCCGAATTTTAAAAACGGTTTTTCACGTGTCGTCAAACGCTGTGAAATATTTACAATTCATAAGTAACTGTTCTATGTTATAATGCTATAAAGGACACATGGTGCCGGTTTTGGCCGGAATTTTATTCCTGTAGTAAAAATGCGCTAATAACAAAAAACTAAAGTTTTTTCCTATAATTGATGAACTTTTTCATATCATTATAAATTATTGATATTTTTTATCCTGTTCCAATTGATATTTTAAACGTTAAATGTGTTTAATTCTTCATAATATAGGTTATATTCTAACAGAAGTTGAAGATCTTTTGGTAGTGGTACTAAAACAGTAGATAAGTAGCTGCTTAAATAATAAAACTAGTTTTTAAACAGTTTTTCAAGAAAACGATAACATGAATGCTTCAGAAATCTATTACATGTCAATGTAAATACATTGTTCATCAACAGAGGCATACGAGCCTACAGATATGTAGGCTCCCTTAATCATATGAATATTCAGTAAGTCGATTACTCAGCAGCTATATAAAAGATATCGATGCTATTGTTTTCATGGTTATCCACTAACGGTTGAAGGATATTTTTTACCATACTCAACAAGTTCTTAGTATTTGGTCACCCTGGTAGAAAATGTTTACCATATTTTGTTATTTTTAATAATTCACATACTTTCATCTTTCAGCCAGAGCAAATTAGCGGGAGTGTTACTGTTGGGGGTAGGAGGAATAATTCCACCTAAAAGTCAAACTTACATGGAAACAGCTTGCGAACTGAATGAAAACAAAACCATACATCCGTTTGCCTACAGAACTCATACACATTCCCTAGGTAAGGTTTTAGGAAACAATTTTATATTATTAAAGTGTTATATTTCAGTTATGTATCACTTTAACTGATCCATTTACAAACAGAAATGTTCAATATATATATTTTTTAAATAAAGTCGGTCATAAAATGTTCCATTATGGCATATAATTTTTTAAATATTTTTCTAAAGGGTTTACTACCACTCATATCAGCAAACATCAAACAAAGGAATCGATCAAATGGTCTCTTAACCTTGCTACTCTCCCGAAGTAAATGTTACATTCTTTGTCTATGGGTACGAATGGACCCAGTGGATAAAACTCATACCTGTTTTGAATTAAATTCCAATTTTTTTATTAATTCGTAGAAGCTTTTTTAGTTTCATGTTATCGATGAATCAAAACTATAAACATTTTTTTTTGTAATAAAAAATATAATAAAACTTTATATTCAATTAAAATTATATAGTTATTCAATGCAACTTTTACAAAAGATATTTGAATGATCAGGACAAATAAACCACTTACATGCTTGACATCTTGTACGAGATTTTCTGTCTTTTTCCCATCCGCAGTTTTTACACCTTCCACGTTTTGTACTTTCATTTACATTTCCACTTGTTCCAGCTACTGCATGTAAATTTATTTGTACTTTTTTTGTGGAACGTTTGTTGTCATTCGGGTAGTTCGGCATTTTTTTGTTAAATTATATGCCAATTCTTTTATAAAAAGCCTTCTTTTATGCAGTTTGTTCCTATTATATTGAGGATTTACATGAATATATAACACATATGCGTTAATTACCGCCAAATCTAAAATATAAAATAAGCAAAGTGATCACCTTCTAGTTCCTTTTTTGCAGTTATAAGCTGACACTAATTTCTACCTTCTTTGGTTCTATTGTATTCTAAAATAATGTCTGGTTTCTTATGTTCTTGCAATGACACCTGGTCATCTAAATGCATCGAGGTCAAGAGAATAATATATTTACCCTTTTTAGGACTATATGAAACTAAAGTCATATTCCTCTGAAACCCAAAAATTGATGATAGGGCTTCTTTACTTTTATTTGGTAGAAATTCAACTTGAATAAAAGTTTTGTTCTTTCGTAATGTTCCCATTAGTGTTAGTTTACGTTTTAATAATTCAGTCGCTAAATGGTAGTCAGTAAAAAAAATTATCCGTGGTTATGTTTCGCCCAGAATTCTGAACATCTTTTATAAGTCGTAAAACCACATTTCTGACCTGATGTACGTCACGGGGCTGATTTTCTGCTTTTCCTGTTTGCACTTTGCACCTATTTGCACAATACACATACGCAGTTTTGACATCAGATAAAAGCCATCATTTAATTCCATATTTCCCACGTGGTTTTGTTGGAATATACTGTCTGAAGGGACACTCATAAATAAAAAAAACTTCTAATTGGAGCTAACTTGTCGTGCCTCTGTCGAATAGGTCTATCATCTTTATTATCAAGTCGCAAAAAGCGGCTAATGTTACAAAATCGTTTCAGAGACATTGTAGCTCTAAAAATGAGCCTACCATCAGAATTGCTCCAAAGTTCCTAAAGAGATTCTCCGGCACCTTTATGGACACCATAAAGGCCAGAAGCAGCCAGAAGAAGTAATCCTTGAGTAAAAATGCAAACTTTTCAGTTAAGTTATTTTATAACTGTAATGAAAGTATTACATATATTATTATATTATTATTACATATATTATTATAGTATCCTTACTGCAAAATAGACGTTTTTTCGTTATGTTGGAGGGTAAAGTAAGTAGGTGGAGAGTTCAAAAAAACGGCCTCCCACAGGGAAGTGTTTTAGCACCGATGCTCTTCAATATATACACAAACGACCAACCTACTCCGACCGAAACCAAGCACTTCCTCTATGCTGACGATCTTGCAATATGTGCTCAAGGAAATAGTTTTGAAGGAAGTGGAGGAGAAACTCGAAACTGCCTTAAAAACAATGACAGCGTACTACCTGCAGAATTCTCTGAGACCCAATCCCTCTAAAATCCAAGTCTGCGCTTTCCACCTTCGCACAAAGGAAGCCAAGCGAAAACTCCAAATTGTGTGGAATGGTAATGCATTAGAACACACAAACCAACCTATATATCTTGGAGTAACTCTGGACCGGTCCCTCACCTACAGACAACATTGCATAAAAACAAGAGGGAAAGTAACAACTAGGAACAGCATACTCAGAAAGCTAACGGGAAGTAAATGGGGGGCACGTCCTGGCGTTTTAAGAACAACGGCACAGGCACTGTGTTTCTCAACTGCTGAATATGCGTGCCCCGTTTGGAGCAGATCTGTCCACACCAAACAAGTTGATACTGCGCTAAATGAGACGTGCAGGATAGTAACGGGGTGCATGAAACCAACGATACTTTCAAATCTATATAGAGCAGCGGGTTTTGCAGAACCCTCAACACGCAGAGGCGCTGCAGAACACATAGAGAAAATTAAATAGATCGCGGACGATCGGCATGCCCTATACAAAGCTCGAACACCACGAAAGCGACTAAAATCTAGGAAAATCTTCCTTGGAACAGTGCAGGATGAACCGCCTGAGTATTTTCCACTTCCCAGGTTCAATGGACCGGCCAGACCCTAGACTTTAAAACGTGGAAAACCTTGAATAGGATAAGAACGGGGGTTGCTACAGTAAAATCAAACATGGCAAAATGGGGAAAAATAGACCAAGATTATGTGAACTGTGACTGTGGAGAAACACAGAATATGGAACATCTTCTTACATGCAGAAACTGTCCTCATCAATGTACCCTTGAAGATTTGTGGCTCGCCAACAAAGATGGAACCGACGTAGCCCGATACTGGGCCGAAATTTTATGAATGACATGTCCGGACACGATAAAGTAAAGTATATTATTATTATTATAATATATTATTAATCGCTATCTAATCAGTGGTAATTAAGTAGTAATTAAGGTATCATTAGTCGTGAGTGATATCAATGGCCATAGCTGTAAGCTATCACGATAAATTCAAGTAAATTTAGGTAAGCGAAATATTTAAATATTTACAATGTTTCCTATTCATACCGAAACGGACGCACTACTAGTCCAACAAAATAATGCGATATTCGCAGAGAATACACCACGTTCACAAAATGAGCAGTCGCTTTATAATGCATGGTATCGGTCAGAAGAAAATGGTAAGAGACTTAATATGGATAATCAACGGTTAAGTCAAATAATCGCCGATATGGAAAAGAGATTAGCACAGCTGGAAAAAGCCGAATAACATACAGGGTTAACCGCAAGTGCTGATGAATCACAAAAGAAATTAAAAACAGATAAACTTGAATACTGCACCGATGAAGAAGATTTAGCGTATGAAACGGGCTGGATAAGAACCGAAAACAGGAAAACTAACAAAAAACGTAAAATGGATACCTCATTATCTCCTCCCTCTCCGCAAAAATCAAGTGCAGAAACACAAATAGAAAAACCAATCAAAAAACTAAAACCACCACCTCCGGTTGTAGTAGAAGGTTTTCAAAGTGCTGTTGATCTAAGCAAGCTTCTAACTGAGGCTGGTATTACCTTCATTATGAAAATCATAAATAGTGAAGTTATAAAAATTAATATAGCCAATAGCGATCATTACAGAGCTTTAATAGACAAATTAAATACAAGTAACCTTTCGTACCACACTTATTAAAATAATCAAGAGAGACCAATTAGAATTGTTGTTAAGAAATTACATCACACATGGCCACCAGAGGAAATAGTAAAAGATCTACAAAAACGACAATATAAAGCCATTAAAGCTGACAAGAAATTCGAATGGAAAACTAAAAAACCACTAGATATGTTCATCCTAACATTTAGACAGGATGAAGATATAAATAGAATTTACGGCATAACAGACATACTTAGTACGAGAGTTGAAATCGAGCCATTAAGGAGTTCCAGATTAGTCCCACAATGTAAAAGATGCCAGGCTTACGGACACACGTGGAAATACTGTAAAAAGGAGCCAAGATGTGTAAAATGTATTGGTAAACACCTTACTAAAGATTGCCAAAAACCACCAGAAGATAAACTACAAATTACAAACAATAAGAAACGAGGAGAACAAACAAAGACAATGTTATAAGAGCGTCCCATAGAGTTATTGAAAGCAAAACACTAAAAACGGCAGAGGTAAGTGAAAATAGAAGTTACAGCGATGTAACACAGAATGCAAGGAGACATGCATCATCGCAACAAGAAAAAGAAACTGATATTACATTAAAAATGATATTGGAAAAGCTCACCAAGATTGATGAAAAAATATCTCAAATCGATATCAGAGTTACCCGACTAAAGCATAGCGGCAATGGAGCTATTCCGAAAATCAGAAATGGCTAAAGACCTCCGAATAATGGCGTATAACGCAAATGGACTGTTACAACATCAGATCGAGTTGCAAGCAGTACTAGATATTGAGAAAAATGATCTGTGTCTCGTTTCTGAAACACACTTCACTAAACAGTCATATATAAAATTTAGGGGGTATAGAGTATATTCTACTGTACACCCAGATAATGCAGCTAAAGGAGGAAGCGCTATTATAATTAAAGATAACATCTTGCATCACGAGGAATTAAAATATGCAACTGAGCACATACAAGCTACAACAGTCTGTGTGATGATGAAAACACATTCCTTAAATATAAGTTCAATATATTGTCCTCCTAGACACTCTATTAAAAGAGAGCAATATAAAGAGTTTATGAACACTTTAGGAAAAATATACATCATCGGTGGCGACTTTAATACAAAAAATACCCACTTATATCAATGACGGCTGGGACATCAACTCTGATCACTCACCGATAATTTTAACTATGATTGATACAGTGATTAAAAAAGAGTTCAATCCAATATTGACTAATAAAAAAAATGACTGGGAGAGCTTCAAAATAAACCTTGAATACAAAATTAATCTTGATGTGCCATTGAGAAACACGAGGCAACTTGATGATGAATCAGGTTTTTATAA